GAATATATATGTGAAACATTATTTGACATTCCTGCCAATGTTGATTTTTAAAGGGTACACAGTGGGATTAATATGAGTTTAAATTCTAACCCTTTTCATTAAATGCAACAGCTAAAGGCATGGCTCATTAGATCAGGCCACATTTATTCAGTCATCTGATGAATGAACCTCTGTCCACTGCTGCCTCGGCTTTTTGTTTTAGAGCTACCAGGATCTGTCTACAGTAGAATTTGTTGCCTGTTTTTCCATCCTGAGATGATCTTTTACAGATGTGATAATCTGCAGTTTGCCTGTTCAATCAGTACATAAGTTCTCTTATGATTATATAATATTTATTCAAAGAGAACCAAAACTTAAGTCCAGTTTTATTTATTTATTTTTTCTTTGGCTTACTCATTAAACTTTGAAAATTAAAAATTACTTCGCAATGTTCTGAACTTGCCAGACACTTACCCCAAACTTACATTACATGAACTTATTTGGCCTGTAACGTGTACCCACTCGTGTGAAATAGTTTGAATTTTACTGATGTGTTCTGCCAGGTTCTATGTATGACTTGTGGTGTTAATCTTTTGCAGAGGATCAACTGCCCCCAGGGTTTCCCACCATTGATATGGGTCCACAGCTAAAAGTGGTGGAACGCTCACGGACCGCCACTATGCTCTGTGCTGCGAGCGGCAATCCTGACCCAGATATTACCTGGTTCAAGGATTTCCTACCAGTCAACACAACCGATAATCACGGTCGAATCAAGCAGCTCCGCTCAGGTAACCACTAATTTTTACCCGTCCTTTGAATCCCTGCTTTCATTTCTACCTGTAGATTTGTCTCTCCCAAAGTTCTTTTATCTCCCCTCCTATCCCTAATCTATTTTATCCTCAGAACCCTTTTTTTATTATTTCCAGCTCCAACAGAGTTCCTTTATGTTCTGACTCACATTTAACCAATTTCTTACAACGCTTCCACCCTCCTCCTGCTGCAGTCTCTGGCTGTGTTTTTCAGCTGCCTTTCTCTGCCGCTGGCGTATTATGAGCTTGCTGTGTATGGTCACCAACCCCTTAAAACTGTTTAAACCCTTTTTAAAGTAAACTCCAGACTTTTCTCCAAACTGTCTGAGGACTTCCTGTACAAATCCCCATCACAAAAAACAAAATCAAACTCCTGAAATGTCCCCGAGAAGTAGCAGCAGGCTACTGATCTCTAATCAAAGTTGAACAAATGTTCCTGCTGTCAACATTCGCAGCACAACCAAGTGATGGTGGCATGTACATAAAGGAATATCCTCTCTTGATAAAGCCCACTGCTGTGACTAAAGACTCAAATTTATTATTTTTTTTCTTCATGTCTTGCTAAGTATGCCTGTTGTCGAAGTGAAATTGACTTCCTGAAACTGTGCTCATGTAATTTATGGAAATATGTACCAAATTCAACCAATTTTATTATGGATAATAACTGCAGTCAGGCAGGCTAAACCTTTTCCATGTGTTGTGTTTGATAGCCACAGTAGTGTGTAAAATCCCAAATCCTGTTCCTCCTCAGTTCTCCCTCTTGCCTTCAGGGGCCCAACTCTTTACCCAAAACCCATTATCTTGTAAACGGAGGGCCAAATTTCTGGCGTCATTATGGAAACCAACCTCTTTTGTTTTTCTCCTTGTTTAATATAATCATCATTGTTAATCATTTAGCTTTTTATAGAGCCTTGCAAATGTATTCATACCCCTTGACGTTTATCTCATTTTGTCATGTTTCAATCAGAAACTGCAACATGTTTTACTGAGATTTTATGTGACAGAGACCAGCAAAGTCACGTACTTTGTTCACGTGAGAGGAAAAGGACAAATGGTTATCATTTATTTATTTCAGAGTTTCTTGCTCTGTACGTGTTGTGCTCCGAGGCTTTGACTCTACAGGCACTTTAGCAAAAACTCCAGGGTCATGTCAAGGAGTTCCACTTGATTTTATTCAACAAAATTTAAGGTGATGACAACATGGCGCTTTGGGGGCGTTTTTCTTTGGCCAAAACAGAGAACCTGGTCAGAGCGGAGGTGGACATCCCAGCAGGATGAAACAAACATGCAACCAGAGCTACAATGGAATGCTTTAGAGGTTAGCTTGAGTCCAGTCAAAGTCTAGACCAAAAACAAACAGCGACTATGTGGCAAGACTTAAAAACTGAATTCTAAGATCTGAGCTTGAGTTAATTTCCAAAGAGGTCAACAAAATTTGGCTTCTGTGGTTTAAAGTTAGTAGAGGCGTACCAGAATAAAACTGTAACTGCATTGTAAGGTGGTTTATTAAATACATTTCATGAGCTTTTATTTATTTTACACATTAAATGTAATTCAATACGCAGAGGTTTGTTGTTTTAGAATGACAAAATGTAAAAAAAAAATTTTTTAAAAGTCCAAGGGGTATGAATGATTTTTTTTTTTTTTTTTTTGCGAGACACTGAGTATTGTTAACAATGTTAAATGTAAAATCATTAATATGTTAGATTAATTTCTTGTATGTTCTAATTTGTGAAAAGCTAAAACAAAAAAAATGACTTTTAATATTTCCTTCACTATAAAGTTGTATGTAGTGACGTTCTGTGGAGATCCAATAAGGTGTTTCATCTAAGTCAAGACGTCTTTGTAACCAGTGGTCCGATTATAATGCCCTTTCTATGCTGTTCTTTTCTCTTTGTATCTTTTTAACTACAGAGTCCTTTGGTAAGTGCTTCTGTTCCGAGGCCCACACCCTCACTGTCCACTTTTCTATTTACTGCTCACTAATGTTGCTACTGTCGCTGCTGCTGCTCACCTTTTATTACACTTACTGCACTGTTATTAAAATGCATGGCATGCATTTTACTAACGATCACACTATAAAAACAGAAAGCGCAGAAGTGCATACACACACACTTACAGTAGTTCTACCCTTTTCTAAAGTTTGAATGGTATGAACATAAATAAACATAGGAGCTCTTGTGCATACACACACACACACACACACACACACACACAGATATTTGTCTCTGTCAACTTAGATATAGCTGAGTCCCCACCCTCCACCTTGCACCTACAGCTTTTCCACACCCAAAGAACTTCAGCTTTCTCCTCACACTCACCTATTTACTTTTCCAGCTGTTCACTAATTCAATGATTCTTTCTCTCACTCAGTCACTCACTCTTTCATCCACTCACCCACTTAATCTTTCTGCTCTGTTGTATAGGGTTACCAGTCAATAAGCCAGACAGCAGATAGGTATGCCAGTGGTGGAGCCAGAAAAAAAATAAAAAATCAATCCATGTTGGCCAGGTTTTCAGACTGCCAGACATTTACTGCTCAGTGTGGGATGCACATAAAATAAGCTTGTTCAGATTTGAGTTTAGAGAAGTTAGTTTGGGTCGGGGCAAATATAGGCTTACTTTTTTATCGCAGATTAAAAACATCACAATGTTTTACTGAGAGAAAATCCACTTTTCAATATTTTTTTTGAATGCATTTTTATTTAATTTTGTATTCAGCATTTAGTTTTAATCTTTTTAGACAATACGTTGCCAAAAGGTCTACAGGCAGGCATTGAAAATTATCTATCTGTTCTAAAATAGGGATGGCCTTAATTATCATATTACTGACTCTTGCAGCAAATGACTTTTGAATTGAAAATGAACATTATGCTTAATTTAATAGGCTCCCAGGTTAGTAGTTGTACTAACAAAATAGCCTAGTGTTACAGGCTATAAAATAGAAAAGCAAAAAGGTTAATAGATCAACATAGGCCAATCTAAGATTAGTGTTTCTTGATAAACCTGAGCAAAAAGACCATATTATTATATGGTGTTTTTGTATGATAAACCTCAAATGTAGAACAAATTATGACTGAGGCACAACTAAAAACTTTTAAAACTTCTAAAATAACATCACTATTACATTGCTTTATACAACAAGACAAAACTTTGCCTTTGGCAATCAGAGTTTAAAATCGCAGAAACTTAATGGCAGAATTTATTTGTGGTTTTAAAATGTCGTCTTTTTACCATGTGGCTCTTCACTTGCTTTAGCTAAAGTGAAGACCATTCGTCAGAAACAAAATGTCATCCAGCCCTGCCTTGGATCTGCTTCAGCAGAAGTTTCTGTTTTAAAAAAGTTTGCATGTCTCGGTTATAGTAATAAAACTAGATTACAATACAAATCTCCTCTGTCTTCATTCAGGCACGGAGGTAAGGCTGGTAAAACAATCCAGTCAATAAAAAAAGTTAAAGCTTCCTACTCAACCTTTTTCCATTTAATGACTTTTATGGAAAAATCTAGGAAGCAAATATGGAGTCCATAATATATTTCTATACTCTAATTTGCGATAGACTGAGAAGTAAATCATGAAAAATAATTTAGCTTTGACTGTGAATGAATTAAAATTAAAATTAGTTTAATGAACGATTGGAGCATAAAAAACCCCATACAATTCAACTATTGGAGAGTGGATTTTTTTTTCTTGTGTTTCTGTTAAATTCATACAGACATTTACATATTGTTTGGCTTTCAGGTTTAAATCTTACTTTGATAACCTTTTTTTTTTTTTTTACAAGAGCAGTGTAAACCTCAGGGCCAGAAAGTACTTCCTACTCCTAGAGCCACATGTGCCCTGCTGCAAATCAATGAAGCCAATCAATAACCAATCCCCTTGTAGCTCTGTCACTGTCTCTCACTCTATCTAAAACCTGCTTTTCTCTTCTCAGGCTTATTCTGTCTTTACTTATTCTGTCTTCTTCCTTTATGCCTCCACTTTCTCTTACTGTCTAGGATCAGTATTTTAAGTCTTCCTCTCTAATTTGATTTTTCTCCTTTAACAAGTTACCCCCCATACTCCCAAAGTCCCCTCCTCCCCTGTCCCCGTCTCCCTTTTTGTGGTACTAACATTTTCTTCTTCTTCTCCTTCTCTAATCTCGTGCATTCATTGCCCACTCAGGTGGCACGCCCATACGAGGTAAGACTGCTGCGTGGACCAACATGACAGAGTGGCCTAATTCCTTTGCAACCCCTGCTTCCAACTTGTCTTGCAGATCTGAATAGCAGCCCTTGGTGGGTTCATGAATGTGGGGGGTTATATACTCTGCTCTATTGACAAAACTTGCCAAACTGCTTCAGATCTGCAGGAGGTACAAGAGGAGTAATTGGAGTTGAGCAATAAATAACATCATTAATGCTGTAACTGTCACCGACTCTCTTCTCATCTGCCATCCTCGCCTCATATTTTCCCACCTCACCCTCGGTGTTCAGTCCTTAACAGAGACATTCATCACTTCCATCATGTTTCCTCTTTGTATCCATCAGTTTAAAACCCCTTACCATTCCGACTGTCACCCGCACACCATTTTCTGCGCAACTTGCTGTGTATGAGTACGGTTGGCGAGTTTGGGTATGCCTTCACTGTATGGACAAAACAGGATACAACTAAAAGAGCGACAAACAAAACGGCTTTAAGCATTTAGTGATATGTTGCATTCAAAACATGCAGGTTTTGTAATGCCTTTACGTCAACAAAACAGTTGTGTTTGGTATTTTGCTTGTAGTCGTTTTAGTTCTTAGTAGCATTAGGGCACAGTGTGTTTTCTCATTAATAAGGCCTTCACTTCCTCGACGCAGTGATCTGGGGTTCAGCTCCAAACCTCAGGATCATGCAGTGCCATGTTTTTCTTTCTCTGGCCCCTTAGCTGTGAACTGATGTCACTGATAGTAAAGGCAAGCATGTCTGGAGGTCTGCTAAGGTTGTTTTGGTATTATTGTCATTGTATAGAGACTTCTACATTAGTCAAAAGAACGAAGAAAAAAAAAACAGGGTAAATTTAAAGCAGCTCTCAGTCCATTTTTAGTACACAGAGTCCAAATATTTTAGCCATGAATCTGGATTTTCATTCTCCGGAATGGGAAGGGGTTAACTTCATGAAATCTTCAGCATGTTAAATGTTTTCGATAGAGCATGGAGTGTTTACTAGCTTGATTTATTTCTGCATTGCATAGTTTGAGGTGACAAAGAAAAGGATTGTTACATCTTTTTAAGTTTGTTTCCTCTTTTTTATGACTCGATTATTTTCTCAGTTTTTTTTGTTTTGTTTTTTACAAGAGTCTTGACCCAATCTTGAACCGGTGTGTCCTTCTACCTTGTCTATATTTGCCCAATCAAACGTCTCTGTTTTGTTTTCCGTCCCAGCTGTTATTCACTCTGCCTGAAGAGTCCAGATGGCAAAGACTCAGACACACATTAGTGTATTCACACATCAGCGCGCACACGCGCACACACACACACACACACACACACACACACACACACACATCTTCATGGCTTTTTACCATCACCTCCCTTCTTCTCCTCCATTATGAAAATAAAAAGCCCCAAACGACCACTTTTTTGATAAAGTTTTTTCTGGGCGCTTTTTTTTGCCTTTCCACACCATCTTTAAAAGAACCTCTGGTTGACTTTTTTTTTGACGGTTTTTCTATTTTCAGGGAGCGAGAAAGCATCGGTCCCTTCCCAAGGCTTTGCGTATGTCGTTTTTTTTAATCTGTTGGCCTTGATGGAGCTCGATTAATGTCTTTACCTCCTTACTAACTGGGTGTGTTTTTAAACTGACATCAATCACACTCCTGATCCCTCTGGTGGATCCGTTTTGGGATATCTGATTGCTACTGCAATACCTTTGCAGATGTTATCCTTGTAAACTGATTTGCTCCACAATATAACTTAATCTCAGTTTTCAGAAGATTTTTTTTTTTTTTTTTTGGAAAATACTTTATTGGTGACGATTTTTGGACATATTTTGACAACATTGTTTATGTGTTTCTGTCTTGCATGGAGACAACAATCTCTATGTTTTTATAGGGTTTGTGTCCCCTTATTTTGGCTTTTTGTTCTCATTTCTACATCAGCAAGGTGATGCTTATTTTGGGGCAGATTCTTGCTGAAAATGATAAAAACTTGTGAATGACAGTTGTGGCTCCCTTTGTAGCCCTTGAAAAGAGTTCAGCTCATTTTGTGGAAACTGCCTCCAGTGTCATTTTTTTTTTTTTTTATATTTGAAAACTTAAACGCCATTTTCATGTTTAGTTTTCTTAGACACCTACATGTCTTCCGCTGCTGTGTAATTGCTATTTTTATCTTCTCTGTGTTCTGCCCTCTCTCTCTCTCTCTCTCTCTGGTGCTCCATCCATCCAGGTGCCCTACAGATAGAGATGAGTGAGGAATTGGACCAGGGGAAGTATGAGTGTGTTGCCACCAACAGCTTTGGGACACGCTACTCCACTCCAGCAAACCTGTATGTCAGAGGTAAGTCGAAGCCGTCTCCAACATCTGTTCACCACCAAATATATATATATAAAAAAACAAAAAACATATTTTTAGAAAGAAGGTTGACATGTTTGAGGAACATTGGTATTGTGCTTGTAACAATGCATAATACCGTGCACAATAATGTGCTGTGACTCGTCAGACTGGTCACAGAGAAAGTTGTGGAGAAGTTTAAATCAGGATGAGGCTCTAAAACAAGCTTAGAGCATCTCTTCTCTGCTCAAGATGAAACCAAAACGTAGATCTGTGTGAAAGGAAACTAACACTACACATAAACCTAACACGTCATCAAATGTAGCTGCATCATTTTCTGGAGATGCTGGTCAAAGCTGATAGGGAGAAAGTTTCAGTGTTGAGACTAGGGCTGAGGTGTACCGTTCACCAGGACAACAACCTTGAACATGTGGCCAGAGCAACAACAGAATGGTTTAAATCAGAGCATATTCATGTGACCCAGTCAAAATTCAGACCTTATCTGAGGATCTGTGATGAGGTCTCAAAATTGAAGTTCACAGAAACTCTTCATCCAATTTAACTGAGCTGGAGGGTAGCAGTCTCGAGATGTGAAAATGACGCAGAGACACATCTTGCTTTCTACGATCAGAGGGAAAGGTGATCCTACCATGTATTAACGTAGAGGAGCTGAATCCAAATACATGCCTTTCTTTTCTGATTCAAATAAAATCTCAGTAAAACACGTGAAATATGGCGGCTGTAACATAACAACAACAAAAATTACCAGTTATAAATACTTAATGTGATCTGACACTACTGTTGCCTACAGATTTTGAATTCACTAAATATTTTATTCATAAACAGGGCTACGTTTAAAGCAGTAGCTGAGATCAGTTTTGTTTCAAACCATTAATCTGCTCTGCCCTGGCTTCTTAGCCTTTAGACCTCAGAAGAAAATCCAGATCATCGTCCAGTTAGAACTCGTGTTTCCTCCCCAAATCTGACGGGCGTCTCTCTTCCTCGGGCGCCGTCAGCCTCCCTGCTCCCTCGACACGCTCACACGTGCACCCGCCAAATGTTTGAATCTTGGAGACAATTTTATTCCTGGGGCTTTCTGCTCTTTTGTCTGCCCACCCTGGTTAAAAGAGAGAAAAAAAACAAAACAGAGGGGGCATTTACACAGTGTAGCACGCATTGGCAAATCTAGCATTGCTTCTGGGTAAAACAAACAAAAAAGAAACACACACACACACACATTGAAGTGGGGTACACACATGTATCAACTATGTATGTAACAAAGAGCAGAGAAACGGTGCAGAGTCAGTGATGTGTGTCTAACAGTGCTTGCAAGGCCGGTAAAATCTTGCAGCGGTGCTTAGGGAGTGTTTGACAGGCGGTCTGTGGAGACAGCTGGCAGTGCCTTAAACTGGAAGGCTTTTCACCAACATCAACCATCTAATATACGGCTCTGTTTATGTTCTCTTTCTCCTCTCCTCGTTTCTTTTCCTCCTTGTTCTCTCGCCCTTTCTCTTGTCTTCTATACTTTACTTGTTTTCTCTTGCCGTCTTGTCTGATATTTCCTGTTTTCCTGTCTTTTCTACTTCCTCCACCGCCTCCCTCTGCAGAGCTGCGAGAAGGTTGGTACAGTAATGACTGTGAGGCTCGTTTGAGGTTCTCCCAACTTTTTTTTTTTTTTCTTCAACAAAACATCCATTAGTGTTTTGCAGGCGTCGGGGTTTCAAATCAGCTAGTTAAAAAAAAGAAAGAAAGAAAAAAATCTTTTCCTTTCCCTTGTGTGCATGTATTTGCTGTGACTTTTTTGTATATTTTTTGATGCAGTTCATAAAACATTAAACAGCGTGCACTTTCATTGGCATTAATAAAACATTTTCATATCACATGAACCCCACCAACAATGCCCTTTCTGTATGCTTGCAGTTTATTCTAAATCCTGTGAAAGATTCATTTAATCCCTGATTGTTGTTGTTCTTTCTGCTAAGTCTTTGAATTCTAATCGCGTCCCTCCTCTCGCCTTCCTGCCCTCGTCGTCGTTTATTTTAGTACGTCGCGTCCCCCCTCGCTTCTCCATTCCCCCGGCCGACAGCGAAATCATGCCTGGGGGGAACGTCAATATCACCTGCGTGGCGGTCGGCTCGCCCATGCCGTACGTGAAGTGGATGCTGGGAGCGGAAGACTTGACGCCCGAGGACGACATGCCCATTGGACGCAACGTCCTGGAGCTGACTGACGTGCGCCAGTCCAACAACTACACCTGCGTTGCCATGTCCACGCTCGGTGTGATCGAGGCGATGGCGCAGATTATTGTGAAAGGTGAGTTCTATGTATGGAATATAAACGAGAAAATGAATAATGAAGACAGTGAGTCTATAATTTAACTTGTAAAGCTTTGTGTGTTTGGACCATAAGCCGTTTTTACTGCAAATTTAAAGTGTTTCTCTGGGACACTAAAGTAAAATAAGAAAAACACAAATCTAAAGAGTACACCTTAAACTTTTTTTTTTTACCTTTTGTCACACCTTCACTGTATTGTGCTGTACACTGAGCTGCCACCACGTGATGTTTTGTTTGCTTAGAGTCATGCACTGCAAAAACACAACATCCTACTAAGTGTTTTATCTTTTCTCTTAGTGAACTTGAAATAAGACCAAACTAACTTAAAGTAACTTTTTAAAAAGATATGAGCTTGTTTTAAGTCAATAATTCTTGAATATTCATTTAAAATAATGTCAAATATCTGGCAGCTTTTTCTCTTATTAATTGGGAAAAATGCTTTGTGATTAAAAAAAATCTGCCAGTTTTCAAGAACTATTGACTTAAAACAAGGCCCTACCTCTTGCTGAAAAGCCACCATTGACTCGTTCACTAATGTTCTCTAAAACACCTCAGAGACATTCACAGAATAGCTGAAGTTTGGATGAACTTGATGTCTTCATGTTGGTGACCAGAATAATTTTGTTCACATTTGCCTTCCGTAATTTTAAATCAATTGGCAAAGACTGTGGCAATGTTACCATAGTGACTCTTCGTGTGCCTTGTCACGTAATTGTTTTGTAGATTTGAAATTTTCTCAAGTTTTAAGTGGTTGATGGGTGAGATTTTATTGCCTTTCCCTCCCTGCAGCCCTGCCAAAGGCTCCTGGTGCTCCTGTGGTGACGGAGAGAACTGCAACTAGCATTACTCTCACCTGGGATTCTGGAAACCCCGAACCAGTCTCCTACTACATCATCCAGGTGTGGAACAAACACTCACTCAACCACGTGTGCATCATTTTGCGCTCACAAACTGCAGAACTCTTTACTTGCGATGAAGATTTACAACAAAAAAAAATAACCCCTCTAAAATAGATATTTGGAAATATTTTCTTTTAGTTTTACACAGCCTCATTATTTCACCATATGTTCACCATAGGTCATTCCCTTAAAACAATAGAGGTTTTAGCATCTGTTAATTAAGTCAGAATTGGCGATGTATGCATTTTGATCTGATGAAAAGAGGTCTAACACAATGCACAGATATAGTTAAAGTAAAAAAATTATACAACCAATAAATAAATAAATAAAGTCAAGGTGTCATACTTAAATGGAATAGCAAACTTGCAGAAAGAGAAATGTTTTATGAGGGGGTTTTTTTTCCCATTATTATTCATATTCCTGGGCTGAGTCGATTTGATTAGGAAGCCTGTTCCAAAGCCTGGTGTCTAGAAAGCCCTGTCACATTTGTTTTTTGATTATAGTATGGACCAGAAAAGGTTTGTTTTAATGTCTTTTCAATTTTAAAAAGTGGCAAGGCCTCTTTGTAACACGGTGTTTATGCCACAGGGAAACAGTCTTGTAAAATCTTAAACATAGCAATCAACTTATAAAAGTAAAAATTAAAACGTTGCCTCGGTTTTATTTGTCTTAGAGGAATTGTTGGGGGTAGCTGTCAATGTAATAACCAGAAAAGAAATAATTATTTCTTAAGGAAGGATTATCTTTCTCACTCTAACCATTGAACTAAAATTGAAAGTTTTATTTTTTTATTTTTGTTTTTGTTTTAGAAATGTGTCATGTTAAATTTTTCTGCTGCAGTATAAAGGAAATTATGTTGAGGAATTTTATTTACCTTTAATAGGGGTTCCAATAATATACGATGACACACATCCACACAAAACACTGTTTGCACACATCGAGCCACAGAACTTCAGGAAGCAATAGTTTTTTGTTTTTTTTTTCTTTTATATATGATTGTAAACTGTTATTAACAGATCATTAAGCAGGGCTATAAAACAAAAGAGCCTCCGGCTGGTGATACACTTTTAAATTCTCAATTTGCTCAAATGGGATCCGCTGTCATGTGGCTGCTCTCCTCCCAGAAGCAGCAGCGAAATTAAATGTAGGAATAAAAAATAGCTCTGACTCAATACTCTGTTTATAAAAAAGCATGACAACCACACTCGGCATGTCGTGTCTCACATCTAGATATGTAGACTGAGATTTGGACTGAATTAGTAATCAAAGGATTGGGGTTTCGTAATTTCTACATATTTATTTATGCTATTAAGCAGGAACAGATTGTGTATGTGACTCCTCTTCTTTTCTTTTGATGTCTCCTGCTCGTTCCAGCATCGCGCCAAGGGTTCAGACGACCCTTACAAAGGGATAGACGGCATTGCCACAACGCGTTACAGCGTTGGCGGCCTCAGCCCGTACTCTCACTACGATTTCCGGGTCGCAGCCGTCAACACCATTGGCCAGGGTCCGTCCAGCGAGGTGGTGGAGGCTCGTACAGCGGAGCAGGCTCCCTCATCGCCTCCTCGGCAGGTAGGAGGACATCTTAAAGGGGTAGTTCGGGATTTCTGAAGTAAGGTTCTGTTAGACGTTTAAAAGTAGTTAATATCGTAGCTACTGCAGATAGGCACTTCTTGGCATCTTCATGTGCAGAGCTGCAGAAAAGTATTTGCCCTCCTACAGATTCCTTCTCTTTTTGGCTTTTTTGTGACACTGACATGTTTTATAAAAGCAAGCTAAGGTTTGTATCAGGCAAAATATTCATTTTCCTTTTATCTGAGCTACACAGACATGTACTTGCTGGTGTGCTTTGGATCATTGTCGTGCTGAATTACCCAGGTACGCTTCAGCTTAAGGTCTTAAACTGATGGCCTGACATTCTTAGGATTACAGTAACTCTTTTTCCTTTAGTCTTGGCCCCTTTTTAGACTAATCATTAGCCTCATTTTCTGGAATCTAAAATATGAAAACAACAAAACAGGAATAAAATGTGAAGTTTGGATTTTGTTTGCCTTTTCATCTTAAGCACCACAACGCTGAATCAAATGAGTCTGATTTCAAGTTTTAGAGTGTTGAATTGCTCAGCTGAAGGCTTTTTTTCTCTTGCAGGTCATAGGTCGGATGCTGAGTGCTACAACAGCAATGATTCATTGGGACGAGCCGGAGGAACCCAACGGTCAGGTGGTCGGTTACAGGGTGTACTACACCTCAGACAACACACTCCCAGTCAACCAGGTGTGTGGTTCTGCTCCATTTGAGTCAATAACTTTAAAATCTGACACTTTATTGGCAGCATTAAAACTGAGCACGCATGTGTTGCATTGATGCGTACAGTGGGAGAAGCAGATGGTCCGAGGCACCAATTTCATCACCATCCAGGATCTGACTCCTAACAAGACCTATTACATCCGAGTGTTGGCGTTTACCTCTGTAGGAGATGGACCTTTGTCACAGGATCTCCAAATTATAGCCAAGACTGGAGGTAAACTTAGAGAAACAACAAAACGACTCACTATGAAAAGCACATCGCCCCATAATTCTGGGAAAACACGACACATAAGTAGTCATATTTTCATTTCTTATTCCATTTCTTCTTCTTTTTAGTTCCATCTCAACCATTGGACTTCAAGGGGGAAGCCAAGTCTGAGACCAGTATCCTGTTGTCCTGGGTGGCCCCCTCGACCCAGGGCGGCCCAGACAGCCAAATCACTGGATACGAACTGGTGTATCGAAGGGTCGACGACACTGAAGAGGTAGGCACAGCATAAACGGATGGACTGGTACCGTGGACTGTTTACTTGGTGGCCAGACGGATGATAACATAAATATTAAAAGTGGATGTTTGAGTGGATGGAATGGAGAGCAGAGAGAAGACGACCTGACCTGAATGTTAAGAGCTTCCTCTTATCTGTGCGCCTCTTCAGAGGAAAGTGAGCTTCGAGCCAGCCACCTCCTACTTGCTGAAGAACCTGAAGCCCTTCTCCACCTACACCTTCCAGCTGGCCGCCAAGAGCAAAAATGGGATTGGAGCGTACACCAACGAAGTGTCCATTGACACTCCACAGACACGTAGGTTTATCTGCGTGCACTACATGGTGTGAAAGTGTGTGGTTGAGATTGGATTTGAGAGAAGAGGGGAAAACAAGCTTCTGTTTTGACAATGCAAGGCTACTGAGCCAAAAAGGTGCTCAAAAACACCCAAGCTATAGACCTTTACAAAAGTATTGATGCTGCTTGGATTTTTCATGTTAAAATTAGGATACTTTGGGGGGATTTTTTTTGTTCCCCCTGAGTTAACACTTTGTAGAAAAAGCTTTCACAGCGGTGACAGCTGAAAGTCTTTTGGCGTATATCTCTCTATAACTTTTGACATCCAGAGACTAAAATCTTTGCCCATTCTTCTTGGTAAAATATCTCAATCGCAGATGTTGGACTGAATATTGGGCCATCTCTGAAAAGCAGTTTTCAAATCTGACTGTTAGATTTCCAATTATATTTAGCTCTGTACTTTGACTGGGCTCTTCTAGAATAGAATAGATACTCTATAGTCCCAGCTAGGACATTTTATTAGTGACTGAGCACATGAAATTGCTCATATACATCACCCCAGAAAGCAAAACAGAACGCTAGACAGATCCATCCAGATGTTCTCAAACGACAGACAATGTCAAGACAGAATTGGAGAGATACAGGCATCGATTTAAACATGCTTTCTTTTAAGATCATGAAAAGAGGTATTTTAAAACTACAAATGATCTTCGGTCTTTGTTTGAATACTGATTTTTTGCTATAAAGAACAGCTCTGTAATGTTTTGTTAAAAAAAAGCAATGGCAATAGCAATAACATCTACCTGAGGGTAACAGTTTAAAAGCAATAAAAAGCACATGCCTTGTCAAGAGATCCTTGTCTGTAGATGTTTTCAAAAAATTTATTCAAATTGATACTTACTGGCTCACTGGGTGGTGTTCCTGTTATCTTTACTATTTTATTTTGGTTTTCAGCTTGGTCTCCAGAACAGCATTTGAATAAAATCTTCTTTTTTTTTTTTTTACATTTCCCGCTTTTTAAACATGAAAAAAATTTCAAGTGTTGGGTTTGTAATGTGACAAAATGTGAACAGTTCAAAAAGTGTGAATACTTTTGTACCTGGTGAAATCAACAAATTTCTCTGCCAAACACATCTTTGAGTTCATTTGTTGCATTGTCAAAATGGGGCAATCCAGACTTTAACCGACTTCATGGTTGATGCTTAAACAAATACATGAATGAATACTGGCATCTGAAACCTGACATCAGAAAAAATACGCACGTCAGCCACCGACTTGAGAACAACACCACTTCTTCAGTTCTTTGAACACCGAATCATTAAACACAATTTAAAAACATTTGCAATTCTTTTAATTGTGTGGCTGGTTTAATCTAGGGTTTAAGTTGATGAATGAATGATTTAGAGTCGAAGCCTTTATTTGTTTGGTATCAATCTGAGTTCTGTCAGATTCAATCAACTACAAGGTAAGAGGCCAGAAATTCGCAGATAGACATGAGAAGTCCAGCATGGATCAGAGAATCTTCATTAGGCAAAGGACAAGTAAGTTATAGCTGGCATATTTATGTGTAATATCTCTACTCAGTGTCTTTGTGTTACATTTCTTTGAAGTCATTCACTTGTTTTCATTAACCAAACATTTATGCAGATGTGACACCCCTCATTCGGTATCTTTGTTCAGCTATTTTTTGCTTTCTAGTCACACAAAGTCATTTCTCACACACAAGGAGTTTTCGTTATCCAGTGTTTTGTTTTCATTTTATGTTTCTTTGTCTTTTTTGTTCTCCTGTTTCTCATCTGCTCAATTTCATCATCATTCTTTCATGGCAAACACCCTCTTGACCTCTTCATCCGACACAAAACAACTCGCACACACCACCCAATGACATTTACCCCAACAACAACCACCTTCCTCAATACTGGCCTACCAGTTCCTTCAGCACCTCCTCAGGACATCACATGCACCAGTCCCAGTTCTACCAGCATCTTGGTAAGTTGGGCTCCACCACCCCTGGAGTTTCAGAACGGCGTCATAACGGGATACTCCATCCAGTATTCCACAATGGAGGGCAACAAAACGTCCAAAAGAGTTGACGGGATTCCTCCGGGAAGTTCTCCGTATCTCCTGGAAAATCTTGAGAAATGGACCGAGTATGGCTTAACTGTTCGAGCGCTCACGGAGGCTGGAGAAGGACCGGAAAGCTTACAGCTGCTTGTCCGCACTGAGGAAGATGGTATGTTCCTGAAATAAATGCAAATATATTCCCGTACCCGTCTTAGGCTGGTCTGCCCAACTAACAACGGCCGCCGATTAATATTGAATGAGGGTCACCCCCAACTAACAACCACTGGTTGGCAGAGGCATTTTTCTTTCTGTGAGCTTAGGTTTTAAGTGAATGTTGCATCTTAGAACCACTTTCAAATCCACCCATTTTAATAATCCTTGCTTTGATTTCCCTCTAATAACCTCAAAAATTAACCCAAAACTTGGAAATCTCGTCCGAATATTCCTTCTTTCCAGAAGCCCATTTTCTTCCACTGACATTTTTATCCTCCTGCATCTTTTCCTATCCTTTGAAATCTTGTTTTTTGGTAACAAGGAACTCTCTTGATTTCATTATTTTATAATGATACTGATGATCCGTGCAAACAAAACAACCCACTTACGTCTTGTCTTTCCTTTTCTGACTGACCATGTCTTACAAACAAAATCCTCCCCATCTTCTTTACCAATTAAAATAATTGAATATGCATTTCTTAACTGTATTTTGTGCTATCAAGAATCTGCTAATTTTTTTTGAACACTCACTCCATATTTTTTTAGTCCTTTTTGTTTCATAAAATCTTTTTTTTTTTTTTTCTAAGTCCACCATTTTTAGAGTGCTTTTACTGGAGTCAGTCAGATAACAAGAGGTGACTGGAGGGTCTTTTTTCTCTCTGTCTTTTTCTTTTCGGGTAAAAGTGCAGTTCTTGGCAGCACGAGAGATGTCTTTCTTGATAACAGTATTTTCTCGTTGAATGACTGCCACTTTTTTCCTGCCGCTGGCAACAAATACTTCACTCTCTGCCATTCTTACCTCTCTCTACATTTGCTTCCTGTACTTCACCGTTTTTTTCCAACCATGATTTTCCTCAAGCTCTCTCAGTTTTACCTATCGGCTTTTTACCAGACATCACAGCACTTAAAGACTTTTTGAAGGGTTGTAATGTTTTTTCCCCACCTTTTGGATTTTTTTTTTTTTTTCTGCCAACCTATTTTCTACAGGACTAAAATCACAGCTTTTACTATTAAGTGCCCATCACTTGTGACCCTTGACCTCTATTCCAAAATGCATTTGTAGTTCCAAGTGGTCCTCCACGAGGGGTTGAAGCAGAGACAGTGAATGCCTCGGCCATTAGGGTGAAGTGGCGAGCTCCGGCACCTGAGCTGCAACATGGACAGGTCCGTGGCTACCAAGTCCACTATGTGCGGACAAACTATGGCGAACCACAAGGTCAATCCCTCATCAAAGACATCCTCATAGATGACTCACAGGTAACACGAACACAAGCAACTATTTACTTATATAGTAATCTGTGCCAGGAGCAATTTATGAAAAAGAGGAAAAGTCATTCGACTTCATTTTTGATTGTAGGTTGCAATTAACCTAAAATAAATAAGACATAAGTGTCTTTTCACGCAGGATGAATATAAATACCACTTTAGGCCAAGCTGATATGCAATGTATTCTGTTTAGAAAGCAATGACCATATTGCTTTTTTACTATGAAAACAGCCTTCGACAATAGTCTCTGAAAATGTTCATTGATATACTTCTTTAAATTTAGAGGTATGTTGTTGATCCTGTACGAATATTCTAAAGTGTGCATTTTTGTTTTTCTCCTGCTTTATGGCTTCATTGCTTAGTGGGAATATGGGAACTCAGCAGAATATGTAAGTAAACCTTTTGTCAGGCATTTTAATGAAAATGGAAAAAAAAAAAAAAAAACATTACGAGCAGAATAGATTTTACCTTCAAAATCCAGACTGTGCCGAGAGCTTTCACTCCACTCTCCACTGAGTTTTTGTTCTAATTTTTTTTTTTTTCCTTGAAGACAAATACCAGTACTTATAACTTCCCAAATGAGAATTGAATTTATCTGGCTTGTTTTTATTCAAATAAGTTAGAAAATATATTCTACTAAATGTGGTTAAAAAAAAGACAAAAAAGAAAATAAATTAGTTCAGTTAAATGAGATTTCGTATTAAGTTTCTACAATTTATAAAATTTGTTTTTCCATTTCCCTAAGATAATCTCCAAGGAAAAGCTTTTCCATCAAAATGGAAAAAGAGCCTTAGGCACTGCAATTGAACTGAATGTCTTGCTGTCTACAAACCGTTTCTGTCTTGTTCCATCCATTTGGATCTTAAGACCCAGCCAATGCCACAGTTGTTTGTCTCTTGTAGCTGACGGAGCCGATGGTTGTTTTTTAGGAGATTGTGCTCGGAGACCTGAAAGCAGACACAGCCTACTCTGTGTCAGTGGGAGCTTACACCGCAAAGGGTGACGGTGCTCGCAGCAAAGCTGTTACTGCATGCACTGCCTTGCCTTGTAAGTGTGCCTTCACAAACAGACTCACTGATAAAAAAGGCTCAGTTATGAGTAATCATGTTTAGCTTCATTAATTAACATTAGACGCTGCTAAATTACCGAATTGGTCATACGTCATAATGTCTTACCTTGCGTTGCCATTAAGAAGTAGGTCATTTAGTCGCACATTATATGTATTATCCCGTTTTGCTTCTGATTATGAGTAATGTGCGTTATAATAACCCTCTAATTATCTTTTCATCATTCTCTTTCTTCTTCTTTTACTGTCTCCCTTTTGTTTAGTTCCTGAGAAACCTAGACTGCTGGTTAGTGCAACTAAATTAGGTACTGCTCTTCTGCAGTGGTATCCCCCTCCCAACCCACCAACCCCTTTGCTGGGATACCGACTCACCTTCGGCCGCTTGGATGTTCTTCCCTTTACGGTGGTGGAGTTCCCCACTAAAGAAACCCATTACACTGCTCTGGATATCCACAAGGGAGCTAACTATGTGTTCAGACTCTCTGCCCGAAACAAAATGGGCTACGGAGAGGAGTCTGTCAAGGAGGTGACCACTCCAGAAGACGTTCCGACTGGATACCCAGAAAATATCATTCTGGAGGAGGCCTCTGCTACCTACCTCAAACTGACATGGAAATCAGTCCCTCTGATAGAGCAAAATGGAAAAATTACAAAGTACTCTGTGCTGTATAAGGACATAAATAGTCGGGGGAACGCTACGGAGGTGGTGGTGCCCACTCCTGGGTCGAGTGTGTTGCTGGAGGGTCTTAGTGCCGATACTGTGTATGATGTCAGGGTGTGTGCGTTCACAGTTGTCGGTCCTGGGCCGTACAGCCCCAGGATCCAGTTCAGGACGCAACGGCTTGACCAAGGTAGGACTACGCTCACATTCTTGCAAACCCATCATCATTATTCTGGATGCCAGAACCAGGTTCAAATAGCCTTCTGGAGCTCAGATCGTGCAAATTTGCACATACACATGGCCACAAACACTCAGTATACAGTTACTGCATCTTAAGTGTCCTTTTTCATTGTCTTGTCACTGTAGCCTTAGACCCAACAGCCTATTCATAAAGCAAGGTAAGAGTCTTGGGTCTGGGGCAGAGTCTCTGTCCAGTCATGTTGTTTGTAGATCAGATCAAATAGCTAGTTTGAGTCTGCTTCTAAAGGATGAAACACAGGTAAGACTACATAGGTTTCATTTTGCAGAAAAAAAAAAAATCTAACGCTCTTGAAATCTTTTTGCTCTTCTGCTCCCGTCTGTCCTGTGCTACAGTTTTTGCCACCAACTTCAGAGTGAAGGCAGCCATGAAGAACTCTGTTCTGCTTTCTTGGGAGATCCGGGACAAGAACCCTGCCCAGCCGTTTACTGTAAGTAAATTTTCACTGCATGGTATATAACTAAACAGGTTAATAATATGAACTAATTTGGGAACAAAAATGTACTTATACAGAGTTAAAAGCAGAAACTAAATTAAAATATGGATGGCAAACTTCAACTAGAACCATGTAACATGAAAGGAAGAGAACTGTAGAACCTGAAAATGAATGACTGGACCAACAAGGAGCAAATACCAGGCAATGGTTACTAGGATAAGAAAAAGGAGAAACTAATTACCAGAGTGAAAACAGCTGAGGCTGATCCAAAACCCTAAAACAAGTAGCATTAACACCTACAAAATCAAAATACTAACCAGCAGATGAAAAAGTAAATAGACTATAGAGCAGAAAGGAGCCAAACTGAAAGTGACAACTCAAACTCTAAAAGTCATTTTTACTTTGGCGTAGTTAGCTTACATACTAAAATATTCAAAAGAGGCAGTACCCATCATCTAAGACTAGAATCAACAGGCTAATTTTCACCTGCAGCCCCTGGGTGGATTGTTAGTAAATTTATATGATTGTGATTTTAAAAGATAGAATCACTGAAAAGTGAAAATAAAAACTGAACACTTACCAAACGGAAGCAAGGTGAACTGGACATAACCCAGGTAACCTGGTAATGAAGGATTGGAGAATGACATTGTAAGCAAGGTAACTGCATTGAGAAATTTTAACTATTAAAGCAAAAAAATTCTTCTCCAGCTTGCTAATTCATATATAACCTGAAAAAGCAGAGGGTAACCTTGAGGTACACTATGCAAGCTTGCAGGTTGCTAGCTTTATTTTGAAATTATTACCCAATAAAAGTGCGTAATAATTGATCTGCAGCCCGGTGTAGATGTTTTTGCAGTTGAAAAAACAACTGTTATGAAGTCTGAAAACATCGTACATGTTGTGAATTATGTTCCTAGATTCTGTATGGAAAAGGCCTGTCTGTGGAAGTGGACGGCAAACAGACTCAGAAGCTCATAACTGGCCTGGATCCGGACACCCAGTACTCTTTCCTGCTCACAAACCGGGCCAACAGCGCTGGCGGGCTGCAGCACCGCGTCACTGCCACAACCGCCCCAGACATCCTGAAAAGCAAACCCCTTATTGTGGGAAAGACAAATGCGGATGGAATGGTGACTGTGCAGCTGCCAACTGTGCAGACGACAGCAAAAGTCAGGTAATGACGGGAATGCAGTTCGTGTGGTGGTTAAATAGTAACAAGTTGTTTCCTGTCGTGTAGTTTCGGGTTCATCGTTTTTCAGGTTCAGGTTTTTCTTATTTTATTTATTGGCCTATAACAAAAGATTTCAAACATTTGGCAGCAAAGCACGTCTGAAAACTGCCACAAATGAGAGCCCAGGGCTGATGCTTTCGTCTGTGTTTTGTAACCATAAAACCAAATATAGATAGCAAATGATAGCATTTTTTGCATTTCAAAACCCCGGATGACTCACTCTGCTGTTTACATTTGTCGTCTTTGCAATTGCCGTGTTGTTTATGTCTTGAAAAGTGTGGATTTTATTCACAGTCTTTTTTTTTTGTCATTACTTAATCTGTACTGACTGCTGCCTTAGAAACCATTTGTAAAGATTATAGATGATCTCACAATCAAGTGATAGCTTTGTCAATCTACCAGCTTTATTTATCGATATAGAGGCACCAGTCAAAGATTTTGTGCCCGATTCATTCATGATTCATGATTTTTCTATTTTCAAAACAGTGGTCTCTTTGTGTTTTTCCTGTGATCACTTCACATTAACAGAGAGTTGTCTAAAAGTCTATCAGCAATTTTAAATCTAGCATGTTTTAGGACTTTACTGTAACTTGCTCAACTTTCTGCTTTCTGCTGACGTCTAACGTTCTGATGTGGTGATTTCTTGTTAATAAATAGCTACTCTTACTGTATATTTGTACCTCATCTGAATTCACTGTTGAATGTCTTTGTCTTTTTAACAACAACTTCCAAAAGGGAAGAGTGAACCTCTGAGCATTTATGCTTTTGCTGGTTTAAAAAAAGCATTTTTTTGTTTTGTTTGTTTGTTTGTTTCTGACAGGCTAATCTCTGATCAGGGCGTGTCAGACTTTTATCTGACAGGCCCAATACATGTATTGGGTTGAAGTGACCCAATACACCAACTTGGGTCACCAAGTTGGTGTATTGTTTTAGGCTGGGTAGTGGGCACTGGAATTTGAATTTGTTAGTTTTCTATTTTTTATAAATTTGCAAACATCTCCAAAAACCTTTTTGCACATTGTCACGACGGGGTATTTGATGGGGTATAGAATTTTGAGCAAAGAGATTACATTAATGCGATTTCATATATGGCGGTAGCAAAATGTGGAAGCTCTGTAAATACTTTGTCCAAGTTCCTGGTCTTGAATCCAGTGTTGCTCTGCTTCAGGGGTTATTATGTGGTGGTGGTGCCACTGAAGAAGCAGAGAGGAGGAAAGTTTCTAAATCCCTGGGACGATCCTGATCAGATGAATCTGGACGAGGTAAGCAGAGCTTAATGTTGATTATAATGCATATCGTTATAGGACAATGGTGTTCAGTGACAGCAGTGATAATTGTAGGAGGAAAAAGGACATCTGGACAATAAGGGGCCTTTAAGTGAAGTGAACACTTATGCAACTCAGGGAAAGTAGACGACAAGGCTATCTGTACCACATTTATTCCAAACAATGATTTTGCATACCATTTCCCATCTAATTCACTTCCGGATACTTCTAAAGACCTTATCACCTCATTATGCTGTTCTGAAGGCACATTCTTGTGTCTAAGATTAGTTCAATAACCTTTTTATGGTGCGCTGCTTAATTTATCAGCAGATAAATGTGACAGCACCTCAGCTGATGAAGACAAATTTGCCTTGGAAACAATGCTTTCTGCAGCCTATTGCTCCTGCACTGATGGGTTTTTTTTTTTATGTTGGGTAAATTATCAGAGATTTCTTTCTTTAAAGAGGTGTTGGTTAGGATTCAAATATACTAAAACTCCTTTAGCAATTTCAGTGCTTTTCCAAAGTATTCAAACTCCATGAAATCTTCCACTTTTTTCATGTATTCATCCCAAACATCAGATTGTGTGTGTGTGTGTGTGTGTGTGTGTGTGTGTGTGTGTGTGTGCGCGCGCGCGCTTGGGATGTCATGTGATAAACCCTCACAGAGGGGTGCAAAGTTATAAAGTGAAATGAATAGGACGCATGTTTTCAAAGGTCTCTCACAAAATAAAAGTCTGAAAATTATGATTTGCCTCCTTTACACTGATACCCCAAAGTTAGATGGACAGAGGGTTTGTTTGTGTCTTATTTAATCTTGGTGTAAATGCAACAATCCAGAGAAGAAATCAGGGTCAGTTAGAGAGCAGGAGTGAACAAACAATGCCCTGAAGACCTTGTAGAGAGGTTTCCACAATCTTATGAGCACTGTTTAATCCCAGAAACAGAAAGACTATGACAACAGTTGCACACCTACCAAAACATGGCCATCCACCTAGACTGATGGGCTGGGCAAAGACTGCATTAATCAGATAAGCAGCCTAAAGGCTCATGGTTACTGTGGAGAAGCTGCTCAGATCCATAAACCAAAACCCCACATATGGTGGTTCTACTCAATTTTGCCCCGGGGTGCTGAATAGAAATTCAACCCACATTTTCCAATATTTTTTTTTTTTTTGTAAAATATTTAAGACCCAACATCATTTTCCTTCTACTTTATAATTAAGGGCCAATTTGTGTGGTGCCATTAATTTCATTGAAGTTTGCAGTTGTAATGTGACAGTGGAATACCTGTGCAAGGCGCTGAAAGGACAATTACACCCAACTGTTCCCCACTGTTCCCTCACAACTCTATCATTTACCTTAGTATGATTGAGTACTTTGTACATCTTGTTTATTCGCCAACACTTTCCTTTCTCGCTCATCTAAATAAGTTTCTGACCAGACTGTCCTGCTGCTCTCCCTTTCAGCTCCTCCGAGAGATCAACAGGACAAGCGTCAGCCGGGCCCTTCGCATCCGCAGGCAGGCTAGCCAGTCAGAGCCCAGAGCCTATGTCACGGCTCACTTTAAGACCCTCCCACTGGAGTTCACTTTAGGCGACAGCCGAAACTACGGCGACTTCCGCAACCGTCCTCTGCAGGGTGGGCAGGAGTATGTCTTCTTTGTCCTTGCTCTCCTGGATCTCTCAGAAAACGTAAGCGCGGTCTCGTGTGCTCGGGAAACAGTGTTGTTGATGAAAAAAAAAAATATGCTAAAATGGCTGAACTCATGACTTCCTGCAGACAATGTTCTCAACCAGCCCCTATTCTGATCCGGTGACCGCATCGGACGTGGATCCCCAGCCGATTGTTGACGAGGAGGAGGGTCTGCTGTGGGTCGTGGGCCCTGTGCTGGCTGTCATCTTCATTGTCTGTATCGTCATCGCCATTCTTCTATTTAAGAGGTAAGAGTAACCTTTTTAGAAGACAGATTGAGATATGATTCATCTGAAAAAAAGAGGAATTAAAAGCCATTATCTCATAGATTTCCATTCAGTTTGAATCATTTTTGTCCCTGTACTCTGTATTATTGCCTATATATGGATGGCAGCATTTGCTTACATAAGAGACAGACAGAGTAAGATAACATTACGAGCCATTAGCGTTCTTAATGATAATCATCAGCTCTGCTGGCAAGAGGTTGTTTTTTTTTTTGTTTGTTTTTAATGCACATAAATAATTGCTGTGACAGATGTGGCATAGGAAAATTATTAACCTTGATTCCAATAATCTGATGTTCATAAGCCCTGGAGGGTTACTCCTAGAGATTTCTGACTGTTGATGTCTCATCTGGAGTTAAGTTGCACTTGGAGCCATGTTTTCTAATTCGTTATTCGATGTAGTGGCGTCAGTACGGTTAGCCATGATGCGTATCCAGTGCATAGCAATGAAGTTTTCTTTTTTAAATCTACCGTTGCCCTTTGTGTCCACAGGAGGTGGTATTTTGCATATCTAATGCCATACCAAGAATCTGATTAGTGTAAATGTGAAAAAGAAAGTGATGAGCTCAGGATTCCTTTTGTCTCTGATGCACTTTGATCGGACACTAATGGTATTCCTTCTTGTCTGTCCTTTTATCCGCACATCCTCCTCCCCCTTTTGGATCCAGCAAACCTGACAGGTAAACAAGCACTCCTTATTTACATTTCCTCTGGCTTACAGGGCCACTCGCCCTAAAAAACCTCTTCAAGGACTTGTGCAGATATTAGACTGAACTAGTGTCAAATTATGCTAATGTGGCTTTGATAACTGCTTCTTTACATGAAGTGATTATATAATTCAAGAAGAAAAGCTTTATACACTGCATTGGATAAATATAGCAGCCAATATTATGGGAGTGTAAATATTATACATCAGCTCACAAGATGTGGTAATACACGATACCAGGTTCATAAAATGACAAGAAGAGGTTTTAGCAATCTTCTGGCAAAAATTAAGAATCTATTTTTGTTGCTTAGTGAAGTTTAATCAGTGTAGAAAATCAATGTCTAGGTTTGACAAACTTATACATTAGAGTTTTTATGCTTCTCCAAGTCTAAGGTGGTCTTTATGCTAAAAAGCAAAACATATTGAGAGTGCTTCCCTTTCGTGTTTTCACGATTCCATTAAAAGCAGAGTTGGACTTTCTGGTTAGGTTTGATTAGCTTAGGCATTTTTAGATTTGAATTAGCACTGTTACCTTGCAGCAAGAAGGTCCTGGGTTCGAGTCCCACTCTTTCTGCATGGGGTTTCCATGTTCCTCAAGTGCCAAGACAAAGCTGTCTTCCTCCAGTGATGCTATTCAAAGTGCCTAGAAGTCATTTGTATGTTATCTGACAAAGTTTGTTTCTTCTATACCCACAGTGCTGATAGTCTAATCAAAAGGTTTTGATGCTCTTCTGAATGTTGTCAACCAGGCAGAGGAACCTGAGTTGGTTCTGCAGGAACTATAAATTGAAAATAGAGATCTTAGGCTACCAATAATCACGTCCAATTATTGAGACATTGGAAAAAATAATTAAGTTTGGCCTAAGAGTATAGACTTAAACTTAATTTCGTACCAGGTGTTTTAGATACTGAGCCAGATTTCATCTGTTCTAGGAAAAGAGCCGAGGCCGAGGGAAGGAAGGGCAGTTTTCCCTGCAGCAAAGCCATGTCCTCCCACCATCCCACAGATCCTGTGGAGCTGCGGAGGATCAACTTCCAGACTCCAGGTAGGTGGGAGACGTATACAATGCTAGTGAGAAGTTTACATACATGGATCTTGAAGATTACATTCATTTAACGCCAATATTTTAAGAAGACTTGGGTGCATAAGTTGGAATTTAGATTTTCCCACACACAGAGTCAGAGTTAGTTTATACATACAAGCTCGAATGTAAACATAAACCCACAATTATGTTTTTGCTGAACCTATTTTTATATTGACATGGACTTAAAGGGTGACAACTGGGAAAGAAGATCTTGCACTAGACCTAGCACTCTACCAGTCGTCAGGCTTGGTGGCGACAGCGTCATGCTAAGGGCCTGTTTCACTCTGTCTTCTCTACTGGTGCATTTGACACAAAAGAATCAAAGAATAAAGATGGAAGAACTTCTCCAAATGTTTCAACTGTCCTTTAAATCAATATTTAGCTGGCGTGATGCGTGGTGTATCAGCACTAACATTGGTATCGGCTGACATTAGTCATTTTTTTAAGTAAAACTGGTTGGATATTAACAACCGATATTTATTTCCATTTTGTTGCATTTGCCTTTGCAACATCAATACAGGCTATTGATATTGACCCAAGTTCTCATCTTTGCGTCTGTAGTTAGACGGTTAGAATCTGGTTGAAAGTAAAGGAATAAGAGAAAAGTCAGACTCGTTTCAGGAAATCAAGCAGTTTCAAAGCTCTCAGTCGTAAGAAAACAGCTTAAATAACTAGAACTAACCCCAGTACTTTGCTCAAGTTAGACATTTTACCTTCACTTAGAAACTGATCATCATGACCCTGTGTGGATTGGAAAATATTCCAGAGAAATTCAAACTTTTGCAGCCAAACAAAACTTTTTAAAAATCAAAGTTCTTTGTTGCATTGTCATGTCACTCTGAAGGAAGAACAGTTGAAATGTGTTTTTAAAAGCAGACTGAAAATTCATAAAACGTTCCTGCCTAAACGATGAATGTGTGTAAACTTCTCACCAGCACACACAGGCTAAACATGGAATGCTGGTTCTGGTGATTGTTGCACTAATTAGGTTAATTTTGATGTTTTTTTTTCCTTTCGCAGCTTATCGTGTATCAGTCTACCGTGGTTATCGCCGTTTGTCAAGTCAGTTAGTCTCTCTCTCTCTCTCCTTCTTTATCTTTCTCTCTCACTCTCCCTCTATCTGTCATACTAATTAACCTTCCATTCCATTCAGGACGAAGCAGCTTTAATTGACAACATTTCACCGAGCAACACCACAGAAAACAACAAAAACAAAAAAATCCATGCTGATTTTTTTAAACACCTGTTCTGTTGATTCTCACCAGCAGCGCTCATACGCAATCAGGACGCTTTTTTTTTTTTTTTTTTGGTACATCATTATGATTTTATTCTGTCCGAATAAAAGTCGCCTGCAAAATAATTAACTTCCATTTGCTTCTTGGCAGTACTCTAAACAACACCACCTCAGAGACTACAGCTTTTAATTTTTTTCTTCTAAAATAGTTCGGTTGCACAATGTCGGTATCAAAACAACGTCTCACTGTTTCTCGCTGTGCTTGGCAGGCATGGCAAGTCACCCGCCCGTCCCCATCTCTGAGCTGGCAGATCACATTGAGCGCCTCAAGGCAAATGACAATCTCAAGTTCTCTCAAGAGTACGAGGTAGGAATGCTGATTATCTCCAACTCGGGGGGGAAACTCATCTGGTTTTGTTGCAGTCAGTCATGTTTATCAGTGCCATGTCATTTTTCAATTTCAGTAGCCTCCGCGTTGACATCCCCTGTTGATTTGCTGACTTTGAAACGATACAAGATAAAGTCCATTTTCCTCCCTTTTACCGTTTTCTTGTTCTGCGTGCAAATATGAGAGAGAAAATGTCAAATTTGCGAGCTCGAAAGGAATTTGCTTGCAGCCAGATGATTATCGGGCTCTTGTTTCTGCGCTCTGGTGTCGAAAGAGGGAAAGCGGCGATCAAGGAGCGGCCGCAAAGAAAGAAAATGTTCTCTGAAACTTCTTTACTGGATGCGTCCAACTCCCAGCACAGTTAATGTAAAGCAATGATGGTATTAACTTGGAGATAGCGGTGTGCCTGAATTTTGGTAATGCTCGCTAACAAAAGTGGGCAGATCAGCAGAAATATTTCCAAGCACGCCGGCTGTTACAGCAAGAGCTTGCATTACAATGAGCTCCGCAGAGAGCTGTTAAAGCAGTAAAAATGTTTTGTTTTGCCACAAAAAAAAAAAATCATGTCCACCAAAGGGCCTTTGGGTGAAGGAGAAGGCATAAAGCTCTAATTGGCTACCACAAGAAAGAGACAGATTGTGCGTGACAGATGTATAAAGCAATTCTAGGACACATTTAGGAAAAAGCCGAGAAAAAAAAAAATAATCCAACGAGGGCATTTAGCAGGAGGAAAAGACAAGACGGTGATGGAGAAGTTGTGCGTGTGTGTGCGTGTGAGACTGTGGTTGGCGCGGGAACCGCTCCGCTGGGCCTCACATTTTCTCTGCATGACTGTGTGCTTTGTTCGCTTCTTAACCCTCAGCAGAGGAGCATAAGAGATGGGTGGAAGAGCGGCCGAGGAGCAGGAGGGAGGCCAGAAATGATTGCGGTGTGATAATCAGACACACTTGGTGTTGGCACTGTGTGGAAAGCCGTCTTGAACTTACGAGTGCGCATACATGCACTCAGCCAGCACCACTCCTGTCCATTTTTCCTCCACAAAAACCATAATTATGTGTCGTAAAATATTCAAAATTGCTAAATTGCCTTGGCTCTTCCCTCTTTGTGCCTCTCCATTGACAGCCCTGTAATGACCTCATGTCTGCCTCTCCCAGCTAACAGCAACGGTTACACTGTAATTACCCTCCAGGAGCTTAATGGTCTGACACAACCATCCTCTCTCTACCAATGGAAATTTATTGTGCTTTTATCATCTTTCCCTGGTAGCGAGTGTGTCTGTTGAAAATGGAAAGTCTTCCTTGAAAAGGGATATCATAAGTATCCGTGTTCCTGTCCAGAGTCACTAATGTGCTCGTCTTAAATTTGCAGCGTGTTTTTAATAGTGGCTTGTCGCTGGCGCTTCAGCATTGTTTGACACTGTTTAATTTAAAAACTCTCTCCAGTGTCTGGTGGGAAGTCAGTTTTAAGTTAACGGCAGAAACGGCAGTAAATTAGTATTTCCCCTTACAGAAGTCTCCTGTTTTTGCAAAATGATTTAGATCGTCATTGAATTTTTAATATCCGATAATTTGAGTAAATACGATATGCAGTTTTCACATGATGATTTCATTTATTTAGGGTGCAAATTTTTCTACAAGGAAAAAAAAAGACTCATTGCCAGTAGTTGAGAATGCTTGGTGCAATTACTTTGGTCCATTTTGGTTTGGAAACCTTCCTGCCTTAATAAAATAAATCATTGTGTGTTTATGAGTGACAATAACAAGAAAAACAATACCCTTTGCAACACCGTACCCATATGTCATTAATCAGACAGTAATTCTTTCTTTAGTATACTGCTTTGAAACCACACTTAATGCTCTGATTTTGAAAGAAAGCACAGAAGATTGCTTCTCATTGCTTCTCATACAATTTTCTCATACAAAATTGTATGAGAAAATTTAATTCAAAATGTTGCGCTCCCCGTTTTCTCCTGACTTGGGAACACCATCGGGAATACACTGGTTTGTCGCTGGTTCAAGGCATCAAGGGTTCAGCTCTTGACCTCTTCTTGTACGCACTGATGATGGAAAACGTGACAAACGGGGTTGGAAAGGAATCCATGTGTGTCACGATCTTTGTAGACAATGCGTACAGGGAAAGCAAGGCTTTTAAGTGGTAAAACATAGTGAATGTGGGTGAGTTCAGGTACCTGGGGCCAACTGTCTAAAGCAGGGGGTTGAAGACGAGACTTCAGACTGGATGGACTCATTAGAAACAAGTATTGTGAAAGAGAAGGTTTACAAGGTGGTTATGAGGGTTCTCTGAGTTTTGGTGTGTGTTTCACACACACACACACACATCCACATGATGATGGTGGTATGCCACATTGTAGCCACAGCTGTAGGAATTGAGGCTGCCATACAAACCGTTTGCTACCATCAGCAGGCAAGGCAGGTGAAGCGAAGACAGATGAGCAATCGAGAGCCATCCACAAAGGGAGCAGGCTAAAAAAGAAGATAAGATAAATCATCAGTCTAATAAATCAGACTTCTACATATAGCAAGAAATCTGAACCAGTACAGGCAGCTGACAGACGTCAGAAGTACATTTATAAACGATTTCTTTGCTTTTGTACTGAGAAAGATTTTGCCGTTTCAGATATAGGGAAAGGAACTTAATAACATTAGGTTTTTGCCATTGTTCGCTCTAATTCCACCTGAAACTCATCATAACTATCCATAAAGGATTCTGTTTGGTCCTACTAACCAAACTTTGACCATTAATGCATAGCATGAGGCTTTTTTCATCATTCAAAAACTGACAGCCATGGCAGCTACATCCATGCATTTGTAAGATAGTCAATATTTCTGTTACTTTGATATTTTTGTTTGAAAATCACATAAAAAAATTTTATATAAAAACTAAGATGAATATGAGTCAGTTCTTGGATTTTTTTTTTCTTTTATTGCTATTATGTAAATCCATTTCCTGTCGATTCTGAAAAAAAATCAACACATTTCTAAATCTATGTTGTGTGTTGTCTTTGTGTCTTCCAGTCCATAGACCCATCTCAGCAGTTCACATGGGAGAACTCTAACTTGGAGGTCAACAAACCAAAGAACCGCTACGCTAACGTCATTGCATATGATCACTCGAGGGTCATACTCTCCAGCATTGATGGTAAGAAACAATTCCATCAGACTTGCAGCTCTTATTAAAGGCATATTGAGAGTTTTAGGTTTGGATGCAGTTAGATGAAAAGGTAACTAAATCAATTTTATGAGAAAAAAAAATTGGAGAATTTGCTGAGTCATGTATATCCAGTTCCATCATATAGCATTTTTTAAGAGTTTTTTTTTTTTTTTTTTTTTTTTTTTTTTTTTATCTTGGCAGCAGCCAAGCTAGGACCGGTGTAATAATAGAGAAAATCTGTAGAACCACAGCCGGGTTTCGATGCCAGGAATGCTGAATTGCGGGCACAATTTGCAACATCATAATCACAAGTGTGACAGGATTTTGAAAACACATTCAGTGAGACGAATGATTAAAGAAATTCTTGAGGGAAATTAGTTGCTGTTAATTACCGACATTACCTAATAACTGTTAAACCAAATATTGTTGTCAGATGCAGTAGAGTTACATTTCTGGAGTTTGAATACTGCACATACAGATGCTGTTCCTTACATTGGTTTTATGAAATCACACAAACAACACAACTATTTAATGCGAGGAAGTAACGCAAAAAAGAGATGGGCAAAAAAACTATACAATTAAATTAATGATATCGATTTGATAAAAGAAATAAACACAACCTCCCACATATGTAGATCTGGACCTCTCGCCGTTCTGTCAATGCTGCTTTCCTTAGTCTCACTGACCGCTGTCCTGGCACAACACCTGTGCCGGTGCCAGGGGCTGCTGCTGACGATGGTACTGGAGCAGCTGCGCACATTCAGTGAACCGCTATCAACTATCAATCTACATGGTTCTGGCTTTAACATCCCATCTGGATCTCCATCAAATCCCAGGTCGCATTATCCCTGTGTCGAAAATGTTTATTGTCACAGATAGGGTAAGGATGCCTGGGCTCTACACCTGCTCATGAGGCAACCAGGGCCAAAACCTTGCTTTGCTTCTATGTGCTTTGGAAATTTTGGATTTCTGTTGAACCTGTGATAGAGCTGCACTGATCAGAGATTCGTCCTGCTCATGCCGATTGTAGCCGATTCAGTGTTTTTTTTTGTTTTTGTTTTTTGCATTAACCTGTCTGCTGTTAACGATATTTAAAAGCAATTAAATATTCCAGCCGTTTTATGATGTATGGTCTTTAGTGATTTATATAAGGATGAAAATAGTCGACATTTGTGCCTGAGACTAGCCAATGTGAAGTAGGATTTTACTGTTTAAATCAAAGACAAAATTAATCTTGGTCTCGTTGCAAGTAAACTGTTTTTACAAAAGTGAAAAGCAAGCAACCTGGAATAAGGTAAACAGACTGTTTAGCAAACCAAAGAGAGGAAGTGACAGATTTACTAATACTTGGCCTGCAATTTCTCAATTTCTGAGCAACTCCCAGCAGTCTGTCATGGTCTCTGCCATCATTCTGTGTGCCTATACATCTGTCTAGTACACAAGAGCAATATGCTGGGTAGCTCATTGTTTCACCTGCTGCTCTTGCAGTGATAAAGCACCAAAAGACCAGCTACAGTAACTATATGATGGTGTCTAGACAGTTTGGTCCACTTTCAGAAAGCGGTGAAAGTGCATCAACCTGAAACTACCAAAGTAGGAAATGGCAAAAGCATGAAATTCCTAGTAACAGTTGAAATGTACCTCTGTTTTGTTGTAGCTAAAATTAAGAGTTTACATTCTTCCTTAAAAATCTATATTAAATGGTTTTTTGCACAGCTTCTTTTTATTTAGACTTCATTTTAAACACCTTACTCTTTCTCAAAATCGCTTTTTAATACAATAACAACTTCCTCATCTAAAAGTGCTGAGTTTACTGGTCAGATAAAAATCAGATTTTTTCATTTTCAGCCAGTCATTGATTTGGACTCGTGAAGCTGAAAATCATCAGCTGATATATATATATATATATATATATATATATATATATATATATATATATATATATATATTTTTTTTTTTTTTTTTT